ATCACCCTTTTTATGACTCTCGGACAATTGAATTGCCAACAACCTATTTTATATTTTCAAACTTGGCAGCTCGACTGCCCTTTATCTTCTTCCAATTATTCATTGTAGCCTTCATTTTATAAATAAGTCATCTTAGCTTAAAATTTGTTCATACAACCCAAAATACTCATGAGTAGATTAGTCGTCACCCTATCGGCCACACAAAAATAATTATACAATATAGATCTCAGCAAAAGAAAATTTCAATCAGATCTGAATACATGTATCCAAAATTCAAATGGATTAGATTAGTCTGCTGTAGATGCTACATAAAGCGCCAACCCGAGATCGTGGGCAAAGGCTTTATGCCGAGATCCACAATAATTTGAGGGCAATAATTGTTATTGCCTGAGCTTCTTGTGCGACATTTTCGCCGAGTTTTTACTTCTACTAAAGTCGTGCTATGTGCACAAAGTTTGTTTGATATCATTTTCGTAAGCGTCATGCTTATAGAGAGACTTTCAAGAACATGATCCATACTGTGTCTTGCTTTATTTTCACCCCTTGTCCGATGCTCTAAAAAAGTAATGACAATTTTACCAATGATTGTATGCAGTTACAATATAAGGGAGATTTTTTTGGCCAATTTAAGAGATTTGTTTGACTATGTCTGAGCATAGTGGAATGTTTTTTAATATAAATGTGGGAATGATTATCTTAAGGGGAAAAAAAGGTAGGTATTAAAAGGGATAACTTGCACATAAAAAACATATATTTATAATTGTGAAGGGAATTGAAAACGCAATCTGCATTATTGCGATCAGCCAAGCTTGCAAAAGGACAAGCATTGATGAAGATGAATAATTTTTATAATGAATGGGGCAATACGAGGTGACTGGAAATTACAATATATAAAAACATTTAGTTACCGAATTGACAGAGCACTGGAAATAAGACTTCTTAATTAATTGAAATACTTGAGGATAAATCCAATTTAGGATTTCGTACTGTCTCTTTCTATTATATTTTTAAGAGAATATCTCGTGCTTATGCCTCATCTAGCCAATGAGGATTGGGAAGGATGAAAGAAAGACTGGAATAGACAAGTTATTTCGAGGAAAAGATCAGTTGTTTGATGTAAGCATGATAATACTGTCTTATTGGAGCACAATGAGAGCATTTAAAATAAGGTTTCTACCCTTTTCACTGAGAAAGACGACAAAATTTGACTTATCCACTGATCGGGACAAAGAGTAAATGAGGAAAGTAAATCAAGTGAAGCTAAAGCTGCAATAAATGCCAGAGTTAAGTTGACCTTTTGTAGACAATTGAAGTTGAGCGTCTTTGTTTGACTGTCAAGAAGCATTGGTATGTGAGAGTTGGGAACATAAAGGGAAGATGAATAGAGCAGACTTATCTCCAGGTGCTTGATAAGAATTAAATCTACATGATAGAATCGGATGATCGAGAAGAGGCTTGCTAAATAATAGCGTCCACCGGTACCGCCCTGCTTCTCGAAGAGAAAGGGAGAATTTGCAGGTAGTTGGGAAGGCATGTACATTCCGTGCGCTAGTGCCATTCAACTTTTGGAAAAGTGTGGGTCTTAATCGGACTAAGCAGGCTTGAGTTTATTTTTTATCAAATCATACAATGCTTACTAGCACGTGTAAAGTGTGCTCATCACGCACATATTACGATCCCTGCTTATATTTTAATGAGATTAATTTATAATACACTTTAATATAATAATATGGATGATATATATAGTAACAATATAATATTATAATAATATGGTGTACATTATAATTCAATATAATTTTTATTTTTTTGATAAATAATTTAAATCATTATTAATCTCTAAAAGCCCACTCAATGCGAAATACATTTATCATTTCCAACAGTACTAGTTAAAAGAGAAAGTTGCTACTTTCGTGATGCAACAACATTCGAGAGACTACTACATTTCGCCAATCAGTTTATGTCTGTTCGGCATAAAGCCTTACAGCTTTTTGTGAATAATCTCCATACGTCAGCATAGCCACATATTTAGGTTAGCGCGTTTTCATTAGAATGAAGCAAATCGCCTCGGCTCCATTCAGCACATCCAACCGACCACTGACCAAGATGAATCCGTCTTCGTCCTTTTTTCGGATGGACTGAATCTCTCCATCACACACTTTTACCCGAAAGGAATATAAACTCAACAATGGTAGACTAAGAGATTCTTTAAAGCCCAACTTTTTTTCACATAAGCACATACTCACAAAACGCTTAACTAAGACATCATTCTGTCGTCAGCATAGAGCAAGCACCTTCAAAGGCTTCTGAATCCAGCATACTTTAATAATTGTTTGTTGGGAAAAGTAAGTATGATGAAAAACTGCAAAAATACTCGGGGATAAGCCAGTTTTAGCCTCGTATTCAAGGGAACTTCTTATTCTCGGTGAGGAGTAAAGTACCTGCTACTTGGTACAATGGAGCTCCAAAAGACCTTCGTCCCCGACTTATGTCTCTTCACGTGATCACACCTCATGCATGATACAAAGCAAGCTTTTGCTGTTAGCTATTGTTAAGTACATGAGACTGCAATTATACTGAAAAAAAAGAAATAAATTGGGATGTACAGCCAAACGGTGTTTATAGTAGATCATGAAAGCACGCAACGATGAACTGAAACTGGGAATACCCATTGAAAGAAAGTGGAATCTTGTAAACAATTCATGACAATCGGCGTTGTGTATGTGCAAAAAAATTTACTGCTTCTTCTATTCTAAAGTACTCTGAGAGATTACAGGTCAATTAGATGGAAGTGGGCAAGATTGATCATTTAGGCAGCGATTTTGTGAGGAGAAAATAGGATTAAATTTCCACATTTTGGTTACAAACAATGCAAATAATAAGATTTATCGAGGCCTATCTATTTTCAAACATGTATCTTAAATGATTGCACAGTTTTACATATCGTAATGTATGTTTGACTAAGAAAAGGTGGAGAAAATAGGTTAGATTTTATGGTAAGTGTGATAAAGAAATGAGTAATATGGGATGTTTTCACCATATTTCGTTGAAGGTGATGAAGGACTGGTAGTAGAATTTTCCTACAATGATATGAGTAAAGCTGACGCTTCCATTCAATTTCGCATAGCCTTGATTTCCCAAAAGTTGTTCTCATCCAGTCCTTCATCACCTTTAACGAAATAGGTTGAATACATCTCATATTATTGATTTACTGGTAGTATCGACACTACTTAAATATGAAAAAGTAATGAGTAGTCTAAAGGCGCAAAACAATGGCAAATTTCGAAACTACTCGTAGATATGTGATAAGAAATACGACCATCTTCGCTCTTTTTCGAAGGGTTTTGACTGCTAGAGTTTCTCTTAAGTGATGCTGAATCAAGTAGTTTTGACTTGAAAATGTGGCCGACTCGGCCGATTAAAAAGTCTGATGAGTGTGCAGTTTATTTGGTGCAAGTGGTGAGGTGACAAAAGTGGATTAGCGGTAGATAGTCTCTGAATCAACTGGTAGATTTTCTATCTTGGTTTTACTGGCTGCTGTGAAAATAACGTGAGACGACAAGTTGGTAATAACAGTGACGTAACGAATTAACGATGATGTCAACCGGTGAAAATCAAGTGCTCAGAGAGTTCCTTTTATTTTACACCTAATTATTGTCGGATGATCTACCCGGTCCGGGGGCTGCGGAGACAAAGATTGTGGTTGCTCGGCAGAGGGTATGGAGACTGGAGGAAAAGCGCAAATTGATGGGAATATGCTTTCTGCATGAAATCGTCCCTTGGATACCATCAACTGGGCCAAGTGACAGACAAGACAGACGAAACATGAGAGCAGAATGGGAAATTACCTCGACAGAGTAACGCAACTTAAAACTAATTTCACATCTTTCATAAAAATTTGGTTCGGTTTGGGTAGAATATGCGAAAAACAGTTGGGGTTTGAGGCATCATCTATTGGTGTTCAATTGTTGAGCTCATTTACATTTCGATTTCAAACGTTTGGTGAATAAATTCGAAGGTGACTGACGGCGTATTCCTCTTGATCAACTGTCGATTGGCTTTACTGAAACATTTTGTTGACGTTTTCTTTACTTTTTAGCTTGAATATGATTGTAATGAAGGACGAAAGCTAAGAACGTTTTCACCAGGATCTAGAGATATTGTCTCGTAAACGGCACCATTTAGAATGTTTAAGTATTTTTTTTGGTTTTTAGTAGATTTTCGAGACTGCCCGTAAATCAGTTAATCCTATTTCGTTTAAGATGACAAAGGATCTTCTTACAATGTTATGAATAGGCCTTACGTTTCCATTGAACTTCACATTGCCTTGTTTTTCCAAAAAGTATTCTGAGCCAGGCTGGACAACAGTTTCGGCCTCGTCTCGGTCACATCAACATCCCCAGCGGCACTTGAGTAACTTTTGGGGGGCAAGGCTATGTGGAGTTTAGTGGAAAATTCAGCTACCACTTCTGAATCGTCTTTAACAAAATAAAGTTCATGTTATAGCAAAGCCAATTTACAGCTTGATCAAGAGGAATTCGTCGTCATCTTCCGGTGGGATCAACTTGAAATGAAAGTGATGTCAACAGTTTAGGCAGTTTTAGACGATGCCAGTTCTGATAGTTGAGTCTCTTGCAGGAAAGTCATAAAGCTGTTAAATTTTGCTCTATTTTTCCTGCAAAATTTCCCATCCAGGTTTTCTGTTTGGAATGCTGAAGAAACTCAGGCGCCGTGGGGCATTCTACATATTTCACATGTTTCAGTAGGCATCATTGAATAAGTTAAATTCACTTTTCAAGCATATAAATCTCTACTGGTAGCTTATGTGTAATACATAGAATATGACTAATAATGAGTATGACTACAGTGCATTAAAACAAATGCCTATTTTTTAATTTAATTTAAGTTTCAAGGTATCCCAGAAGGCCGTTTTCACCGTGCATCGGTGCCAGTTCTGTGGATGAGCGAGATCATGAGAAACTGTTTTTAGATGTTCCTCCGTACTGCAATCAATCATTTGATATGATACAACAAATTTCCATGAGATCGCCTAGTTATTGTCAAATATTAAAATGTACTTTTTTGACTTTCTTTTTGTTTACATTCACTGAATGTCTTGTAATTCTCGTTGTTCTCTTGAGCCGTTAATGTCTCTTTTAAATCTTTTTTATTTGAGTCCACACTTACAAGTGCTGCCCGCTAATATTGTATATATTAAATAGGTACTGGTTCTTCAGATTCCCATAATAATTTTCTATGATTCGAGCATATCCTCGCCTCACTCCTCTGCTTTCTGACCAGTCAGAAGTAGTCTAACAATATATCCAAAAATTGTCATGCTGCTGATAATGAAGACCTTAGCATTTCGGTCTTAAAATCTTGTTCTATCCATCTGGAACCAATATTAATTAATTAATTAATTTATTTATTTATTTATTTTTATTATGTTCTCACATTGAATTAATTTATGATGCATTTTGATTTTCATTCTGACCTTATGTCTAACTAATTAGAAACCAGACAAAAGCTGTTCTAGAATCAGTATCTGAAAATGACAGTCTACATTCTGGTCGTCAAACTGGAAAATTTATGGTTGCTGAGCCGCCGCTGCCGCCACCGTCTGTAGACCATTTAGAATCTGCAGCTTCGGTTCCTACGTCAGAATCTGCCTCAAATGTCAAGGGTATACATTCTGCCTTCGAAGATGCTCATGAAGCTTCTCATTTGTCAAACCAATCGGTTAGTGGTGGCCCCCGCGGCCTCGAGACGTTGCCATACGATACTGCAGAACTGAGTGAGTTGTCGAAAAGCCACGAGGATCTCCCAGTTCTCGTCACCAGGTCAACTGAAGCCGCATCCACTAAGCCATCTGGATTGTTAGAAATGCCTTTTCTAGCACCATCTTTGCATTTAGATGAAATTAATTCTGCTCAAAATAACATTTCGTGATAGTCGATACGACCAATGATGCTTATCGTTAGCCTCCTCTTGCTATCCCCCATGCCAGCTGTGTATTTGTCCCTTGAAATATCAGCAATTGTTTCGAATTCTCTTCTTTCAAGGCTATGCCACCTAATTATACCCACCAGTAACACATAATTATAATTGTCCATACTTCGTCATTCACAAAGTGTTTACATGTGCTTAATCAAGCCCATTCCCGCTCTTTCCTCACAGCATGGTAACTTTTCGCCATGTCTGAGAATTGAATTGATAGTTAAGCTGTAAACTTTATTTTTATTCTTTTTTTATCGGAATCGCCTCAATACTCGCGGATTCTGCACATTTTATGGTACTTTGTCTTTGTGTAAAGTTTGCACCAGCATCGAATCCACCCACGCATCGTTGTAGTGTGTTCTCATCTTCATTTTCTTTAACAATCCGCTTCTCAACTTCTCCAACCATTCACATCATTTGATTCTTTTCTGGGTGCTTTCTATTATGCTTGAAGTTTCCAAAAATATTGATACCTCGCTTCATATTTATATTATTTTTGCATCTTTATCATGTATTTCAAAGATGTTTATGTAAGCTCTGGGCTGAAAATAGTAGATAATTTATCTTATTTATGCATGCATGTAGATCTTTGCTGATAATCAAATAGTGATAGTATTAATATTTATAATTGTTTGAGTAGATTTTTGGCGAATCTGGGGGGCGGACTAATTATTTTGCTGCCAGGTCATTTGTCCTGGCCGACGCTACTTTTCAACTGTTATTGGATAAGGCCCATGGGAATCTCGGCTCCACATGTGCA